AAAAAAAAAACAAAACCCCCCACACCCCCCCCCCCCCCAATACACACAAACAATAACACACAACCATGAGACCACACTGTCAAAACCCAGATTTCCTCTAGACTTTGGTAGCATTGCTTTGATTGATGGCACGATCCCCTAACTCGATTTTTGAACAAATATTTGTCAATTCCGAGTGAAAATTGGATAATTGAATATTTAGCACAATTTTCCGCGGTAATACAATTAAGGTTATCCACGTCTCGGGCAGATTTGACAAGCAGACAAGTTTCTCTCTTTTTTTTCTTCTGCCAGAAGAACATAAATAAATAAAATCACCGTGGGAAACTGAATACTATTTATATGTAGCTCAATCGAACGGCAACTATTTAATAGAGTGAAATAAAATACAGGGACACAGAAAATTGTGCTAGAGAATATTATAAAAAAGGACAAAAATAAAAATGTCACCCGTTTGGTGACATTAAAAAAAAATGCTGTTGAGAAACATTTTTATTTTTAATGTTGCAATTGTTACCGACACAAATAATAAGATAGACGAATGATAATAACGATGATAACATCAAAGTGCTATCGCAGAGAATAAAGAAATGGGTACCTGTGTGAGTTCTTTTGTGGATTTTCAGGTTTTCTGACCTGGCAAAGACTTTCCCACAGCCAGGGAATGGGCAGGGGAAGGGTTTTTCCCCCGTGTGGACTCTGATGTGGTTAACAAGTTTGTATTTGGCTTTGAAAGGCTTGCCTTCTCTGGGGCATTCTTCCCAGAAACAGATGTGATTGGATTGCTCGGGTCCCCCAACGTGCTCCACCGTGACATGGGTGACCAGCTCGTGCATGGTGCTGAAAGTTTTGTTGCACGACTTTTTGGGGTTGGACAACTGCTCCGGTTCAATCCACTTACAGATGAGTTCTTGCTTGATGGGCTGCCTCATGTAACGGAAGAAGGCCCCTGCTCCATGGTGGGCAGCCATATTCATGTTCATAGGGCCATAGCCATGGAGTTGGGTGGAGGCGTAGTGTTCAGACCTGGGGCTGGTGACTTGTCCGTACTGGTCTGGCCGGCCGTACATGTCTCCCGAGAAGCCCAGCCTCATCTGCCCGTTCACCACGTTGGGGGAGCCGTGGCCGGCGCCTTGATCGTGCAGCCCCGGGAAGATCAAGTGGCCGGCGGCGTCCGTGTGCCCGTGCGGTCCGCCGAAACCCCCCGCCGAGGCGAACCGGCTGTGCTGGGCGCTGGCG